TACTAAATTATAATAAGTCCTCCCACATCCGATTCATTTTCATTAAAAATAACCAATCTTTATCCAAAATAAATTTCAACCATTGATCTAATTAAACTTTTATTCTCAACTTTTCATTCCAAACCATGTCCAAACCCTAAATTTATCCACAATATCTGAGGTGCTTCCCCATAGCCGCCGGCCAATCCTCCAACGCTGCTCCACCCACTCCGGCAATGTTGGATTTCTCCCCAGCCTATGATGAACCTTGCCTCCCGACGACTAACTCGACCCCCGGATAATAAGGTTTCCCACGATCCCTTTATTCCCTATTCATCGTACCCAACAGGAACAGAGTTCCTTTCTCTCACTGCGACGACCCTCCTACATGGCTATCACTGTAACTTAAAATTTACGGAATATTTTTTTTTGTTTTAAAATATATTATAAGTAAACATATAATTTTGAACTTGGTTATAAAAAAAATATTAATAACTTAACATATTCATCTTTCAAAGCATATATATGTATATACTTGTTCTTTAAATCTTACTTACATATGCTTACCAGTCATAATTAACATAACTATTTAGCATATAGTTTCAGAGTCATAATTAGCAAAACGGTTTATCATATTATCAAAAAATAATTTGCAGATATAATTGTGAGCGGTATCCATTCCCCAATCTCCACACCATTTGTCCACCGCTTTGCCATCAGTCCATCAAGCATTAGGTGCAGCTTGCTTACCTACAGTATAAATATTCTAGAATGAGCTTTTACTCAGCAAGTAGGAATCATCTCTCGTAAAACAACTGGAAGTTTATATGAATAAATATGCATGGGCCAGCTATACTTAATTATGATCATGTCTTATTAAACTCTTATTAATTGATGTTATCTTACTAATTGATGGGCCCGAGTGCTCGTACTATTTGTGCGCAATTATCGGGAAGTTAGGGTTTGTAAGGTCCCCAATGACACTGTGATTTAACTTATTATATTTTTATCTCCCTCGTGGAGTCTTGATTACCTCCCTCACGAAGGCTGGTATGACACTCAACTGAGATTATTCTTATAAGTTTCACTAGACTTATTAGGGTGTATGAAGTATGACATGGCATCACATACTATAACATAAAGCATAAACATGTGTTTATGACATATGTAACTTCTTATTTAAAAACTATTCATACTGTAAGCGAGATTCCTAGTTACCTGTGTCTTATAAATGGGAATCCTCTACTCGCCTCGGCCTACTTTCCTCTACTGCTAAGTTCTGTAAAGAAACACTCATTTAGAGTGTGAGACCTACTTATTATATGCTCTTTTAAATTCAGCATATTCATAAAGGAATTAAATCCTCTCTTAAAATCTTTTCTCCCTTTTATTAGAGGACCGTGAAAATCATAATTCTTATTACAAGGATTAGCAAATTAAATCCTCATAAACTTGCTTTTCTTAATTGCCTTTACTTATATGTGCTAAGGTTAATAATTAATAATTTTAGTAATTAATTAACTATCATAACCATATACTAAGTCCATATAATTTAATTAATTAAATTAAGTAATTAATTAAATTTATTCATATGCTAATTTCACTTAGTGGGCTCATAATTGTATTAAGGCCCATCTGGTCAAAACGGGTTCTTAAACATTAGGCCGTCGTGACTTAGGCCCAAGAAGGCTCTCAAACTAGTATGGGTGTTGGGCTCATATCTAACGTTGATTTACTTAAGGGTCTAGCGTATCAAATTTTTTTTTCTTTTTTATAGATTCCTAAGTAAATTGCTTACTTGAAAAACTGTCAAAGTTTATCGAATATTCATATTCTTGTAACTGAAATTCTTGTATTAAAATAGCATCTGATTTCGTAAAACATTAAACTATGGCTTGTATATTCTTTACTTGTGTTAAAAAAATTACACTTCCGATCATAAACTAAAATTTAACCGCTAATTCGATATTTTATTGTGAAACTAGTTTTACAAGTCATTTTGCAGTTGGTTTTTAAATTACTGTAAAACTATAATTTATAGACAGTTTTCTTGAAAATTTTCTTCGTAACCACTCCTTGTTTAAATCGGATCTAATATTTGTATTCTATAAAATTTATGATTCGAATCTTTTGCAAGTTGGTTTTATTGTAAACAAAAACTGTTATTAATTTACTAGTTAAAACGCACAGTTTTCTAAATTAAATTTTAACTATATTTTAGAGGCAAATTTTCAAATTGTCATTCATGAAACTTCTTCATCTCGTCGAAAACTAAAAATCCCGTATTTCGTGAAAATCAAGATTCGGCTTCAAGACGGCCCGTTTTGTTAAAATAGTGGTTGCTCATCCTTGTTTAAAAAAAAGTTGTTTTGAGCAGTTTTTTAAAAATGGCTCGGAAACCCTATCTAGAGTCAAAACTACGTTTTTTCACGGTCACAAAGATTTGTTTGTAACATCGAGATCTTTGAGACTCATAATTCGAAAGTCCAAAATCAGACCCTAAATGGTCGGTCTGAGCACCAAGTAAACTTAAAGTTTGAAACCTAACATGCAACCTAGATTATTTTGCTCTACATACATCAAGCTTTCATACCATAACCATCACAACTTAAAAAGGACCATAATACACCACGTAGAATTATTACATGCCCAAATATCAAATCACCATAACTATAAACCAAGCATCATCATACTTAATCTTACTTAGGAAAATAAAAGAGAAGGTTTCATAGTTTATACCTTTGAAGACCACTCTTGTATTGACTCCTAGACAACTTGATCCTCCTCCTCCTTCTTGATCTTAAGCTAGTGTTTGTGTTTAAGGGGGTGGAAGAAAAATTTAAGAGAGAGATAGGGACTGTTTGGTTAAAGAGAAATACAGGAAATAGAGTAAAAAAAATGGGAGCTTATTTAAGGTGCTTCTATTTACGGGCACTTGGGTAATTTCATTTAGGTCCCGTTCTTTTCGCTGATTCGAGTTTAGAATTCGAGTTTTACTACAGTAAAAAGCTCTCAGAAACAGTCATATCTAACTTTTTTGCCACAGTAAAAAACTCTCACACAACATCACATCTCAACTCGAATTAGCGAACCAAACGGACCCTTAATCTCCTAACAAGTTAGCTTAATTAGCTAGAATATGGGTCAATAACCCTTAATAATAGGCGTGTAAGATTAGGGGGAGGGAAGAGAAAATTTCACACTTAATGCTCTCACCTATCACTATCAAATCACTTCCCATCAAATCAAATTTAGTCCCTTGATTTTATCTCTTTAAAATTCGCTTAAGCAGTCAAAATTTATAGTGATTATAGGGAATTAACTTAGCCGACAAAAATTTAATTTTTTGATGGGTCTTTTTCTATTGTTTACTTATAGTCCAACACTAATATTTGAATAATTTGATACCGAACTAAATTTTTAATCACGTAATATTTCAGATTGTTTCAAGTCTTAAAATTATTTCTATACTAAATAAATTCTAAACTTAACTTTTTCTACATTATATCTCAGGCATGACACTGATCGTGTCAACTCCCGAGCTCAGATAACATTTTTCTACTAAAAGGCTACTCGCGTAACTTTAATTTAACCATTCAGCAATTAAGGATTTTCTTAAGTGTTAGAGCGTTTCTCAGCATGCTACTAATATCGTACTATACTCAAAAATTCTTTCAATTAAAATTCTCAAGCTATTCATGGATTGAATTTCCTGCTGTCTTAAATCGCGATGAGAATTATTAACTGAATTTACTTGATCAGAAAACATGAACTTAACGTAAAATTTACTACATAATTTTAGAATACTGATATTAATTCCATAAATTCTTTAGTCACAAAATATAACATGACATTTTCTAAAAAAATCCTTGGCATGAATACGTAAATTATATTATTTAATTTTAAAATTCTCTCAGTCATTACACTCGCGGACGGAGTTCCAACGAAGGTGACAAAGACGAGGCATGAGTTTTGACGTGGAGAGGATGAGGAGTGGATCGGCACCAATATTAATGGCGGACATACGGCGGATTGGTGACGTGCAAGTGGTCAAAGTTCGTCGTGAGTCTCAATTTCGTTGGGGCGAATGATGGTGTTTTCGGCTGAGCTCTATTAAGATATTTGGGGTTTTGATTGTCGTCCTTTTCTAATTGTGGTGATTTAGGTGGCGTCGCCATCCGAGATTTTTTACGGCGGCATGTGAAACACCGGCAACGCCGGCAACCATTTGTGGAGAAGGTTGACATTCTCGAGATTGTTTTATTATAGGAAAAATTGTGAAATTTATTTTGATAATTAATTTGGTTACCATTATTTAGTGATTGTTTTATTTTAGGAAAAAAATGGTAAAGATTGTGTAATTAATTTGATTTTCAACTATTAAAAGAAGTTTGATTTTCAATTTGAGAAATTTATTTGGACAATTAATCTGATATTTATTGAAAATTAATATGATTTTAGTAGTGCGCAAATAGATTTAATTTTACTTATCAAAAGAATAGGTTTAATTTTATGATTATTTTCAATTTTTCAATTTTTAAATATAATAGGTTTTTTTTTTAAAAAAAAATGTATTTAAGCTGTAATTTGATGCGGGAGGGAGTATATAGACCCTCACTATGATCTAATATGGTCACCAGATTTCACCCTACCATAGATTTACCTTTAAAAATTTGAAAGAAAACACATTTTTTACCTTCGCCTTTAGAGAGAAAATTTTCACCGAACTTATAAGGATCCAAAGTTCCAAACTAAGATGAAATCCTTTTTGTATTTTTGCTTTGATAAAATCAAATTCTGTTAAGTCTGTTGGCATCAAAATTATCCCCATATAAGAAAAATTGCATTAATCCCTTGGCTGATGCCAATAAAAAAAAATAAAAAATAAAAAAAAAATAAAAACCCAACTCCCCAATTAATCTCTCTCTCTCTCCCCCTCTTTCTCTCTCTCCTCTCCCTCTCTCTCTCTCTCTTACGTCCAAGAAATCAATCAATTGTCAGCGACGTTGGAGAGACACAAACAATCATCCTTAACCTCTCCACACACTTTGCGAGTCAGCTGACATAAAAGAGCACCCGCCAAGCACCAACCATTTGAGATAAGAAAATCTCTACAACAAAACCAAGGCGCCACGTGTCGCCTCCTCAATTTTCCTCCTAAATTCTCCGAATTTCTTCTTCTGTTGAAAGCTTGGTTTGGTGGACAAGGCAAAGGAGAAGAAGCAAGGAGGAAGAAATAAAGCACCAAACTTTCACTGCCTAACCATTTATAAACCTCCAAGAGAGAGAGAGAGAGAGAGGGAGATTTGAAGGTAAAAAAAGATGTCAACAACTTCGTTGTGTTCGTCGACTCTTCAGTCCCAAATTAGTGGCCTTGGTGGGGGTCTTAAGCCTCAAAGACGAGCTCTTTCTCAACCCACTTCGTTTACCTTAACAAGGTATTGTTTTTATTCGTTTGTTGCACTTCTCTCCTTTGAATTTCATCTGGGTTTTCTTTATATTTTGATTTTGAGGTCTAGGAATGGGAATTTGGGTGTTACCTGGAAAACCCAGTTCAGAAATGTCATGACAGTTTAAGAAATTTTGGTTCATTTTGTGTATGAAGTTATTTATTAATTCCTTTGGTGATTTGTGTGGTCTAAGAAGGAAACGTGTACTGGGACTGCAACATTTTGTGGTTTTAGAGAACAAAGAATGAATTTGACAGACTTCCACAGATTGATTGATCTTTTGTTGCGAAACTATTCGGGTGAATGTTTTGGTGTATTCTTAGGCACTGGGAAAGTTAAAGTTTTTATCTGAGTAAGATAAGTGAATTGATGACTGAAAAGAAAGTGAACTGAGGTTTTCATTAGAGTTGAATGGGTATTGCATTGTTATGTATCTCATTCAAATCTTGGGCATAATCCTTTTAGAGGCAGACTAAATTTATAGCATTAAAGTCATCTCCAACAAATTCTTAAATTAATCATCGAACCTCTCTTTTGATCAATAAGTGGCCCACTAAACCACGTGACTTAGTACCACCAGGCATTCGGTGGGGTGGTAAGTCTGTTCGTTCTCCTTGACAAAGTCTTGGGGTTCGAGTTAGTCTCACTGTGGTGCGCTGTTATATGGACAATACACTTTGCAAGGGATCCATATGCCACGCGGTGATGCACCTTTTCCCCAAGATTATTTGGGTAAGCCACCTCTATCCCTATAACTCATTTTTCTTTAGAGGGGAAAAAAGCATGGGACTTAGTTGTCTCCAACCTCTTAATCCTCAACCTTGGTGAAGATAGGATTCAATTCCAGAACTTTGATATTCCAAGAGACTTTACTGGCAAGGCTAATTGCAACTTTCAATGGTCTCTGACTTTATGCTGTTCACTTAGTTTGGATAATTTTTCTCCCCATCTTCCATAATGTTTACCCTTCTTCCTCGTTCAGAAGATTTTAGATACTTAAGGATTGAATCATATGATTATGATAGGCCACCGGTGCATTTTACTTACATAAGGAGGAATAAAAGGCAGGGGCAGGATAGCAATTCTGTGACAGGGCTGCCTATTGTAGAATAAGTGGGGTGATTGATTGAATAACGGTTTTAGGCGGGAATTAGGGGGATAAATAGGAGTGGAAACAGAAGGGAGAGTTTAGAGAATTATATTGAGAAGAAATTGGAGAGTCGAGGTCTCTCGAAAACCTGTGTGTGTGTAGAGTGTTCAGAAAGATTCTCATTAAATCCTCCCGATAGTCTGTTCAATTCAATAATACTTGCGTAATTGAATCTTTACCTGTGATTTCGTATCAGATTACTCAATAGCTTTTGTGGTTGCCAGTAAGTAGCTCAATGAGAGTTTCCGAAGAATTATCCTCTCAAATTCAGTTCTAATATGTTTTTTCTCTCCTGCTATTGTGTGGTTTTAGGAGAACAATTAGGACTACAGTGAAGGCTACAGCTCGGGTTGATAAGTACTCAAAAAGCGATATCATTGTTTCTCCATCTATTCTCTCTGCTAACTTTTCAAAGTTGGGAGAGCAGGTACAACTTTTAGCTTCGTTCTTTGTTATATTTTATCCTAATCTATTAATTATGCCTATTAGCAATCATAGTTTGATACTATTAGCGGATTTGCTGATTTATTTGCATCTGATTGTTAAGTTTCATGGATATCACGCTTTGACTCCACTTTATTTAGGTAAAAGCAGTAGAGGTGGCTGGCTGTGATTGGATCCATGTCGACGTTATGGATGGTCGCTTTGTCCCAAACATTACCATTGGACCTCTTGTGGTTGATGCTTTGCGCCCTGTGACTGACCTTCCTTTGGATGTGCACTTGGTATCACTCAATCTTTATGTTTTTGGGGTGATTGTATAAATTAACAGACAAGCAAACCTTTTCTAATGTGATTTTGAGCTGCAGATGATTGTGGAACCGGAGCAGCGAGTGCCAGACTTCATCAAAGCTGGGGCTGACATAGTCAGTGTTCATTGCGAGCAATCTTCTACCATCCATTTGCACCGTACACTTAATCAAGTAAGATTTTGTCTTGCTCCTTGAGATCAAATATTGCGTTCGAACACTGGTGTACCTGATTTCTTGTAACTGAAGTTAGATTGCAATTTTGTCTATCTACTGAAGACGTCATAGGTATAAGATAGGGTACCTCTATATATATATAAGAAAAGATCTCACCCAAGCAATGTCTTATTTTCCACTGATGTGGATTTGAATCTTTGTAACTCACGTTGGTTTGAGGTAAGAGCACAATACTATGTAGAGAGATGGTCAAAACAAGCTAGGTTGCTCATCTGTGTGACTCTACATCTTTGCGCTGTTTGTTCTTAAGCATTATTCAGCACTATCGTGTTGACAGTGTGACTCACGAATAAAATTTAAATGATCTATATGTGTAAATATTGGCCTTTCTTAGCACCAAATACATTCCCGGAGTGTTTGTGAGCGAAAAGGTTGAAGGCTTGGTATTAAAGCATAACTTTATAACATTGGAAAAATGATATTGTGTTTGCTTGTACTTGTGGCTCAGGGAAATAGTTAATGGCTTGCTAATGCAAGGCAGAAATTCCAAATATTGTGTTTCATATGGCTATTTCTTTTTTGAAGATTCTTTCTTTGGCTGCTACTCTTTACTTACTCCTGACAAAAGTAGTTCTTTTTTCTATTTTTCAGATAAAAGGTCTGGGAGCTAAAGCTGGAGTGGTCCTGAACCCAGCCACACCTCTAAGTACAATAGAATACGTTCTTGATTGTAAGGCTATAATTATTTCTTATCTATGAGTTCTGAAGGCTTGAATTTGGTTGTTGATGATATTGAATAGCAATGAGTTGATGATCCATATAGTTTTCGCTGAAAAAAGGGATTAATTTACTAGAAAAATCATCCACAAAAGGAGAGCATCCACCGTAGTAATATGGTACATTACTCTTTTAGCATGGAGATGTGAGAAGGCAAATATAATCAGACAAAATGAAGTCGAACAATGTTTTTCTATTTTGCAGTTGTTGATTTGGTCTTGATTATGTCTGTAAACCCTGGCTTCGGTGGACAGAGTTTTATTGAGAGCCAAGTCAAGAAAATTTCTGACCTAAGAAGATTGTGCGCTGAGAAGGTATAATTTCCAGCCGATATGCAACTTTGCTTTTGTCAAATCGCAATTCGTAGGTCTCTTATTGACTCAGAGATGTTGGCGTTTTGTTATTGTGTAATTACAGGGAGTGAATCCATGGATTGAAGTGGATGGTGGAGTAGGTCCATCAAATGCGTATAAGGTCTGTGGGTTGCCGTTGTTTTATCTCTTGGGGGGAAATGAAGAAAACCAAATAAGGCTTAGTGTTTTATCTTCTATGTTTCTATTACGATTTAAGCACAGACGGAAAATTCTATTCCCCATCCTCCCCCCCTCCACCCCCAAGATGTCTGTAAACACACATAGAGGAGCATAGTAAAAAAAAAAAAAAATGTCGGTCCTTTAGCCTTAGAACAACTTTTAGAAGCCCTACTGTCTTTGATGGTTTCTTTGGTGTTCATGATATTCAAATTGAAGTGCAATGAGGGAAAGAAGGGTGAAATGCCATGTCATATGAGGATATTTTCTTACCGAACTGTAACAATTGCTAGAATTAGTCTAATAGGAGAACATCTTTAGGTTACTGTACCGATTGTTTCCCGGGTTTAAACCACAATTCAAACCTTTTTACTACCCGTATTTGCTCTCAGAAAAATTTGAATTTTTTGTTCAAACCTATGAACCAAACGGGCACTACATTTTAAATTCTAAATTTGTGTTTCTCATATGTCGGCAGGTGATTGAGGCTGGAGCGAATGCTATTGTTGCTGGTTCTGCTGTCTTTGGAGCTAAAGATTATGCCGAAGGTATGGTATGCAAAAAATATATCATCGCCCACAAAAAATAAAAAATAAAAAAATTATGTTTCTGCTATCTACATGAGTTAAATGCTCAATTTGTTTTCTTGCAGCCATAAGAGGAATCAAAACCGCCAAAAGGCCTGTAGCAGTTCCAGCTTGAACCAGTGATCCTATCTTTTCTTTAATTTTGTGATGCCATATTTCTGCAATGCCATGTATGTTTGCCTTCTCATTTCTTTGGAATATCTATCTTCATTACTCAAATGCACTTTTCTTATGGTGATTCAAGAAAATATTGATCATTGTTTGCAAAAAAAATAAAGATAGGTAGATTATGAGCCAGCCTTTGGTTTTCGTTTCACTGATGTGCTTGCTCTACTTATTTTAGGAAATTCATCCGACTGAACATGTTATTGCAAGCTAACAAACTATACTTATTGATTACAAAAATGGTATTCATCTCCATGGAGATAAGACCCTTTCACCAACAAAATGGTGGGTCCCACTTGGTTAGGTCCCACCTATCTACCTGGCGGGCCCCATCCCATGTGAGTATTGAGGTTTTAACTCGATGGGGATGAATAGGGCTGCTCTATTGATTAATATTGGCGTTTTATCTTCATTTTTGCAGGTAATATGCATGAGTTGAACAGCAAATTGATCATGCCATCTTGTTACAGAATAGTTGTCACTTCCTTTTATATTTGTTTTGTGAGGGGGAAATAAAAAAGCAATGGACTAAGTGGTAAGAGAGGTGTGTGAATGATTTGCATACCAATATCCTTTGTAGGGAATAAATTAGTAAAACTCCCCTTAGCTTTGACAAATCACTTCCATATAAATTAATATTTTTGGGTCCACCTTTTTGTCTACCTTGTCTTCTCCCGCCTGTTTGAGCTAATTAAGGACCTTCAGTTCCGTCTAAGTTTGAGTTTGATGTAAATGGCTAAGATTTCTTCAGTTTTGTATCATTATCAATCAAATAAAAGAAGGATTTATTCTCATAAAAAAATATGTCGAAATCTTTTACGAAAATAATGAAATCAAAAGTAAATGTGGGATAGTAAAGAAATGGGCATTTTAGAGGGCATTTGGTTAAAATGGAAATCATGGAATTACAGGGGAAGAAGCTTAATAAAGCGCTGCAATTCGTTTGGAGGCAACTTAACTAGGTTAAAAATGTGTCAAGAGTAAATCTTGATTAATGATCAGAATCACGCAACATAATAACTAATAAGTGGAGTAGACATTCTTTTCCCCCCTTCAAACAAGCGAATCTAAGAGGCGAGAATATAGAAGCATTACATATAGCACCTGGTCAACCACTTATTTTTGCGGGCACTAATGGTCTTTTAATTTTTTTAAGAGTGACAGCTTAGTCTATAATTTTTTAATTGACAAAATGATTACAGATGTCATTAAATTAGTGCAAATTAAGTCATTTTTGTCTAATTCCATTAAATTTTTAACGAAATCCTTCACGTGACGCTCATGTGCATCTCTTTTTTTTTTTAATGAAAATACAAAAATACCCTCATGTCACACAAGAACCAACTAAAACTTGTTTTTTTTTAAACAAAAATAAAAAACCAACTTCTTTCTTCTACAAAGTTCGATCTAACCCTTGACCCTAACAAGAGCTGTTGCCTCCAGATTACTACCACCCCTCTCTTTTGGAGTCTGATCGGAGATTCACCACGAATCGCTGCATTGAGACTTCAATTAGGATTTTTAATTCTTGGGTCTTCTTTGGGTTATTCCTTGTTTTCCTCTTCCCCACCCACTGTCTGATTCCCTAACCAAAAAAAAGCCATTTGCTAATTCTGGCGATCGGACATTCAACCATGACATGTAAGGCCAAGCCAAAGAAGCACACGGTGAAGAAGATCGCCGCCAAGATCGAAGCTGCCGCCACAAATCCCGAGGGCAGAAAAGCCGGCCTTGTGGGCCGCGGCGGCGTTGAGAAGGGCGGCCATGTGAAGTTCGAGCGCCCGCACTGCAAGACCAACGCACCTAATATCAAGTCGATGCAGATTCTTTTGCCCATAAATTGATCTGGTTTTATTCCGGTGAAATTTCATTTTTCCTGCTTCATTAGTTTGGCTTTTCTTGCGTATAAATTTATTTTCCTTTCTTTTTCTAAAATTGATTTGTTGTTCTTTTTTTTAACTGATCAGATTTTATTATATTGATTATATTGAAAAGGATTTTAATTTTACTTAAATACCCTTTTAAATTAGGTCACATAGGTCACATGCTATGCACATGATATATTCTATTAAGAATTTGACGAAAATGACTTAATTATACAAATTTAATGACGTTGGAAACTAGTTTACTAAAATTAAAAAAATATTGATCAAACTGTCACATACTAAAGAGATTAAAGAACATGCCAATTACCCATCTTTTGCAAATTCTCAACCTAGGGGTTGCAAGTACAGCAACCATTTATAACAAACAACACAATTCGAAAACCAAAATGTTAGAAGTCAGCACGCACTGGCCCATTCGGTTCGTTAATTCAAGTTTTTAATTCGAGTTGAGATGTGATGTTGTGTGAGAGCTTTTTACTGTAGTAAAAAAGTTAGATGTGACTATTTTTGAGAACTTTTTACTGTAGCAAAACTCGAATTCTAAACTCGAATCAATGAAATGAACGGATCTTAAGCACGGCACCAACTTGTTAATGTCTGTGACGAAAAGTCCCACATTGGCCAAGCATAAAGTTTCATCCACTCCAACCTACTACTATATACTTGTTTTATGCAATTATATTTTTTTGCACACAATATATGATAAAAGAACGGATAAAATTGTTGTAAGCTACTTACGTGATAAAGAACGATTGTAAAGAGTGAAAAAGCAAAACAAAACAAAAAAAGCAACGATGGTTGAAACAAAGACCATACCATGGTATGTGAAAGGTGAGAACAATTTGATTAGTTTGATCAGTAATGTTAGAAACCAGATCTACAAACCACAAATTTCAGAAAATGCAATGGAGTTTTCATCACAAAGTCCAGAAAACGCAATGGAGCTTGAAAACGACAAAACTAAAAAAACGACACGAGAAAATGCAAATGCAAAGAATGTGCTGGAAAAATTATAGGATATTTTCACTTTGTGCTAATATAATTAGTTTTAGTTTTATGAAAAATAAAATTTAGAAAGATATTGAAAAAAAAAAGGTTACAGTATATTTTCACTCGTTAATATTAATATTAATATTTATTTAAAAAAAAAACAAAATTTAAATTAAGTAAAAATAATAATCAATAAATATTTTTTTCTTTAGCAAAAATTATTTGTTTTAATCGAATAGTTATAGCTCGTTACCAGGGGAACCATTTGAGGCCCGGGGAAAATTTTATAAAACATTTTTAATCATCTATCAAATTTTTTTAAAGTACCCAAATTTTAATTTTATGTGTATTCTTATTTATAAAACTTTTTAAATATTTAGATTATACCATAAATTTAAACCCTTTAGTATACTAATGATTAAAACTTAAAAATCCCAATTGAAGCAAAGAATAACTATACTATTGTACAAATTGATAATTTTATAGACTTTAAACTTTAGAAAGTGAATTAACAAGATAAGTGCACAAAAAATGCACTTTAATCACGGCTAATTATCGAATGAAATACTAAAATTATTTAAGCTTTTATTAATTATTTTTAGGATTTTTATTCATAATATTTTTATGGACATGTTTGGTTTTAGCTTATTTAATTACAGATTTAAAAAGCAACGGAAGAAGTTATGAAAGCCATATTTTTTTATCTCCAAATCAGCTAAGTCAAGTTGAACCACATAAGCCAACCAGAGAGAGCTAGACGAGCCATCAGCCAAGCCGTGTCATCCAGAACAACCGCGGGCCCCAACTCTGATATGCGTCCCACCCACACTTGATCAGCAGGAGCTTTGTTTTAAGCCGGTGCCGGACTTCAACAAGAGCAATGGGCAATATATAATACAGTAATTAATAAAATTAGATTCTTATTTGTGCTGCATTATTACATTTTTAAATTTAATAGTGATGGTTTTTTTGAATGTGGTAGTATGTATGTGTGGATCGTATATAATTAAAATTTTTATAAAATTTTTAAATACTCTAAACTAAAGAATATATTAATTTATGCAATAATAAATTAATTATATTAATTTATAATGATAGATATCTAGCGAACGATTAGGCGGATAACTTGAGATCTTTGAGCACAAACAATCCAAGTTCCAAGCTTTCTCAAAAAATATGAATCTTTCTTATCTAATCCTTGAAATCGGTAAGACTTAAAGTGTGGACTCTAATATGGAACTATGTAATTACTATCAATCGCTAATTTGTATTCATCCACTATTAACGCATGTATGTGAAGGAATTGTGAATTGGAAGAACTTTTCTTCTCTTTTTCTCTCTTAGAAATTTCGGCCACCTACAGTAAAGGAGAGCAAAAAAGCGTGTTCTCCAATTTTATATTGTCCCATATTTATAAAACATTAGAAAGATCCCTTTGCTTTAACTTAAAGACAAAGCAATAGAAATTTGACTATTTTAAATCTCATTTAAAATGTAGTTTCCTATTTAATTTTGGAAACAAAATTCTCACTTCCCCTTTACTATATGGCTAGCCACACCACAGGGAGAACTCCCTGTGGTTAGCGCAAATAAAGGTAGGAGAGAGAAAAAATTCATCATTAATCTAATTTCCAATATTAGCTCAAATTCAAATCTAAAAAAGGTCAAACTTTACTTTTCTTTTTGAATGTGATTGTAAAACTTGTGAAACAAGTAAACTGAATACCTTGGAGAATAAGTAGGTGAATCCCACTTGCCACAAGCCCCATGCACCACCCTATGCCTGGGCGTCTGGCCTCCCGTGATCACATCACAGTGTGTTTTAAATTTAATTTAATTAAATAATCACATTATTTATTTCGAGTGATATTAATTCTCAATAATTCACCATGTCTTGTAAATATTACAAGGATGACGCGGAGACTCATGGATCTACAATTTCGAGTTTCAATAAAATTAATAATTAATTAAACTCTTTACTTATTCATAAAATACATTCATGAATACGAGCTCGTTACTTATTCAAGTACGTAATCAATCCTCAAAGAAGTTATTTATCTACTTTTTCAAAGAAGAATGAATGGATTCCATCTCGTATATTAGCATTCATGGCTATTCATATCATCGTGTTTCTAAGATATAAAGAGTAGGATTTAAGATCTTGAAATCCGTATCGAGTAAGTAAAAATATACGAATCTAAAAATAGGAGTCTATTAATAACTCAAATTAAGATCATTCTATATATGATCATCGGTAGACTCAAATTTGATTTTCTATACTTAACGAAAATTATCAGAAAATCAAATTTGAGTCTACCGATGGTCATATATAGAATGATCTTAATTTGAGTTATTAATAGACTCTTATTTTTGGATTCGTATATTTTTACTTGGTACGGATTTCAAGATCTTAAAATCAAATTATGTCAGTGTCCCGGTTCTACATAGTCTTATTATGCATAATACACTTATTCAATATCCATCTATATTAACAATGTGGATAACACCATTTCATTCTTAATGGGAATGACGTGTATTAGTAATGTTTTAATTAAAGATTCTGTAACTTTAATTAAATTCATTATGAACATTATTTCGATTATTATTATTATATATTACCCTCTCATATATAATACTCATATACAATATTTAAGGTCACATAAATAACTACATAATTTTCAATGTTATTCATAAAGTATTCAATAATACATGCACATAAATAATAAATAAATTATTTTATTAATTAAATAATAAATACTTTTATTATATCTCATGCTTTAAGGACATTATTTTTAACAAATAGATCATCACTGATGAAAATATAATTATTAAAAACTCATTCATATATGTGTATATATGTATAAATCTTGAGTCAGATGGGATTTTACTGTGAACAAATCTACAACCACTTGAAAATTGCAAATTTAAATGATCATTCTTTTTTTTGTTTTGTTTTGCAACAACCAAGAAATCAGTTTAAGGTAGTTAGGTTGCCTAAGCTTACTACATTAATATCTTCCTCAATTGTGTATATTATTTTGAATGATTGGCCTTACAACAAACATGCTAGGAATTAGCTAGCCCTTGCTTGTGATAAATATAGTTGCTATGTTTTAGGGCATCTGAATCTTTCACAATTGACAAATTACCCTTAAAACTTTTAATTTTAATAAATCACCTCTACAAGGTATTGTAAAATGCCCTCAAGTTAATGGCAACTTTTAAAATTAGGATTAAAAACGTCTTGGGTACACGCTATATGGGATCAGAACACATCATATCGCGTTCATGAGGATATTTCTTTTATAAATTTAATCATCAATCGTCATTTTTGGAGCACGCTTCAACATCTTAAGAAATTTATCGATAATTTATCACAATTAAAAGTTCAACTGGCAACTTCTTAAATTAGTTCAAATTCAAGTACAAAAGCACCAAAAACCCTTGGCTTTATATCTTCGTCAAGAAGATAAATTAAATAGATAAAACTAAAAGCTTCAAGCTAGGCATGGGATCGGTAGAGATTCTACATCAAGATAGGATTGAGGAACGAGATCACATCTTGGAACCCATAATTTGTATTGAAATTTGGAGGACAACTTTGTTCAATAATACGAGCTCAAGCTTTTAAAAACATGATGATAAAAGCTTGAAGAATACTATGAAGAAAGCTTTTATTCCCTTAGAAAAGCACCGACCAGTTAACATCCTATTAGCAGTATGCAAAACTATTTAATTATTCCTCTGAGGATGGGGCAATGGCAGGCGCTTCAGAAGGAGCACCCGGTTTGTCATCACGAAGAAATCCGAGTTTCTTAATGATCTCATTCGCAATGATCTCGTTAGCGGCATCCGATGGGTGGTACTCATCCCAAAACACATACTTGCTTCTGTCTTTGCACAATGTTGATGCAGGCACACAAGTTAGGGCAGGTCGGATTCTTCCGAATGAGCAGCATGGCTTGTCCGAGTTCTCGAATCCTACATAACAAACATTAAATTTACGAGTCACAAGTTAAAAATTACATCATCTTGTCATTTTTTTTCTTTTCTTTTGTGTCGAATCTTGAAGAATAATATGTTACGCCGATTTTATTTTGTTAGTATCCTTAAAATTAATTGAGAATGAATTTGCGAACCATATTTAGAAGGGTTCTCAATCACATCGTCTACGACATCATAAGCATCACCAAATTTATAGCTTGCATTAGGAAGTGTGCTTGACAAATCATCTAGTAATTTGCTTGATGCTTTGTTGAAGCTGAGAGCCAGTTTGTTTGTTCTGGCTTGGCAGCCGCCGCTTCCGGACGTAGTCAGCACCCTCTGGAGGGGAATGCAGCCCATTGGGCCTAGCCCAAACACCATCAGCTGCCTTGCCCCTTGCTTATGCAAAATCTGCACACAGAATCACAAACTATACAAGTCAGAAATCCTATATATATATATATATATATTCTACTAACCTACTGGTATAACCATATGACCATGTAATATGCAGAAGTAAAAAATATAATTTGAGGTTTATTCAATGTAAGATTAACCATAAAATGTTGTAACAAGGGTTTGGATAACTCAATTTCGTGGTGTTACACATGTCCAATGTAAATGTTATATGAAATAAATGTTTTGTTATACTTCTCATTTTTATTTAAATGTTATATGGCATTATGGTCTTACAGGCATGACAACTATAGTTATGAAGGAATTATAAAAAAAAAGGGTATGATTACTTATGAGCTTAAAAATATAAATTACAGTACTAATTAATATATATTTATGTAAGAAACATCCCTTATTAGAGGTGAAACTTGCTTGTTTTCTGTAATTTATGTTTTTATGTTTACAAGAACTAAAATTCAACTATTTTTTTTTTAGATTTTTTCGTACGTCTGGTCTACCGGAAGATCAGGTTTTTTTAACCGTTAGATCTGCATATTTTTTAACTTTTATGTAATTTTATACAAATTTAATAGACAAAAAACTTGAATTATACATGTTTGAGTAGTCCTATACATAGCCCGGGGGTGGACCACCTATGGGCCCCATATAGTTATTGTCCTGTTGGGATAAAAAAAAAGTGTTTTCCGACGAGTCTTGATTCGTTCACTATTATAAACATAATACGAAAAACAGAAGCATTTCCATATAAGTAATGCATGATGATGTTAAGTGTGGTTGATTAACCTTGAGTTGACCTCTCAATGTGTCCATTAAGTAGTCGAGGAAAGTGTTGTCATTATAAGTCCATGAATCAGCGTAAGCAGGCATTAAGTAGTTGTTAATGAAATCATTACTGCCTAATGCCACCACATAACGAGCGCCTTGGAAGAACTTCTCAGCTGCCTCTTTCCCTATTTTATTTCTTATCAGTACCCGTGTCCCTTGAAACAGCTCTATTTGCTTGTTCAATGAAAGCCTTTGAATCTACAACATGAGAAAATAATTCCAATCTTAAATTTATATTAAGCCATAAAATAGTGTGTATATATATATATATTATATGACCTGTGCTATATAGCTCCGCAGAACTGCAGTTCCATGTGGCCCCACATGAACATGGGGACCACTTCTTGTGAGTGCGGAGCCGTTTAGTTTTTTGTTTTTTTCATATTATATAAATGGTTGTTTGAAAGGCTTTAAGGTTTTTGAGACTTACAAAGTAGCCACCAGTTTCATTCAAGATCCCACCACCTCCGGAGGCATAATTTACTCCATTTTCCAATATTATGTCTTCAGTTATAGATGGATTTAGAAAGGCTGGTGGTCTTGGAAGGCCCATTTTGTCACCTAAACAAAAGGTTCAAACGCCAATACTTAGCCAAGAAAAAAAAATCTAATCTAATCTAAGTATTTATTGAAAATTAGACCTTATGCAACGAGTTGAAATCTGTTGTCTGAAAATATCTCTTTTTTTTTTTTTTTGCTCTTTGTCCCACTTATAAAGATTCAACACATGTAAACCAAAAATTAAAGCCTTCATTTTTTTATTAAAATCTTAAAATCTTAAAATCTTGAAATTAAGTAATAAAATGGCTTTCTTAAAAATTAATGATGTGGCAAATCTACTTAATGAGACAACAAAGGAGATAAGCGTTTGTAAAGAACATATTTTAACTCACAATTTGCATCCCGCCAAAAAAAAAAAGGCTATAAAAATTGATAGTTTTTAGCATCACATTTCACAAATTACATGATTGTGCTCGGTGAAACCATACAATAGAGGACATATATTGGAGAATTATTCGAAATATTGTGATGAGTGATTACGATCAATAAATCTATCATATCAAAATATACACCATTTAAGTATAGAAGCTTATACCTATTATATCAGCAACAGTACGGCCATTAGTGAACCTCCCATTAGGCAGTCCATTCCCAAAATCAATACCATAATAAGGCAAGTTCGCCTGAGCAAGGCTCCTACTCAAATACCGGTTGTTCCCGACGTCGGAGAGCGAATCGCCGAAGATGAACTGCACAACCTTGCAATGGCAACCATCAATGGCAATACCAAAGACACTCACGACGGTTACTGCTAGCGCCAATAAACTCTTCATGTTTGGTAACAAACTTAGCAGAAATTATGGGGTTTTGTACTTTCGAAGTTTAACTTGGCCGGTTTTAATACTTATGGAAAGTTAGAGTTAGTTTGTTGTTTAGAGAAGAGAGGGTAGATTGTTTGATAAACCAACTGGCTTGTGATAAATTCTAACCTACTTTAGCTACCATGGTTTTGTTACAACGGTACTAGTCCAAAACGACAGGTATTGTGTCCAATTGTTATTTGGTATTTTTTTTTTTTTTAACATGGTGGTACATATGATTTGAGAATAGATTTTTTACATGAATTTTACCAAAGGGTACCCTAAAATATTATATTATATATATATATATATATAAGGAATTTTCCCAAAGGGTCTTGTCTTTAAGGGTTGACAAATGTTCTATGGATTCTGTGGATTGTAATTAGTGGTGAGGTGACCTACTCATCGGTTACTTGAATTACATGCATGCAATGGGATTGGGCAACATTTTGAGCCATGGTATATTAATCAGGCTTTGGAACGAAATTCTATTTCTTACAGGAATAAAAATACTCATTGACACGATAAAAGAAAAGGAAAAAAAAATGTCCTCCTGTTTTTCTTTTTGTACCCTTTACCTACTATTTTGAACTTTTTGTTCTTTGAAAATTTTGTCAAGACCAAAAGGACTCCTACAATTTTATATAGGGTGTTAATTTCCAAAATCTCCCCCACTTAGTGTTTGGTTGGTATGTGAGTTTTGTTACCGGGTAAATTCATAATTTTGATTCTACTACAGTATTTTTTTCTTATAAAAAATTTAAATTTTAAAAGTTATAATCAAGAACTCTGATTTGAATCTTGGTTTGAACACATATACTAAACAGACCCTTATTGCTCTTATAACAAGGTGTTTGTGTCTCAAAATTTTTAGAAAGTAAAATACGTTCTAAAAAATACTAAACATTATCAAAAAGCTCCTTCAGTTGGAGTTATTAACGAAAATTACACATGTCTTGTAGACAGAAGAGTTGTTTGAACATTTTGGTGTACAATTAATTTGGTGTAAAATCCTATTCATATTTAGTATGATAAAAAAATCCTTAAATCTCTGGTGTTCGACTTAAGAGAGAAGCGTTTTGCTAAAAATTATGACTTTGTTTTTGGGTATGTCATACCCACGACCACGACAATTATTATTATTATTATTATTGTTGCTGCTACTATTATTAGTGTTATTATTACTATTATTATTATTAGTACTGCTATTATTACTGTTATTATTATTACTATTATTATTATTACTGTTATTATTATTACTGCTATTATTATTATTATTATTATTATTATTATTATTATTGTTTTTGGGCGTCTTTTATCACTTTTTCAGCATTATTGTTCTCTTGATTAGGTCTCGTCACTTGTGGTGTAACCCATATGATGTTGTCAGAAATTCGGGCAACTACTTTGGACTATTTGGTACCCGATATTTTCCTATTGTTGAAGGCATTAGTGGTCGTAAATGTTGTCATTCTTCTTTGCTGTTGCTTTTTTTTTTTCTCTTTAGTTTGGTTTGAGTCCATTATTCCGAATTGTTTGTGGATTTATTTTGTTTCGTAATTGGTGTTTCATTGTGTTTTCCGCCCTTAACTTGGAATTGTTTTCCTTCAATTTTTTGTGTGGTCTCGATACATAGGATTCTCAACATTAGTTGATTCGACATTGTCATGGACGATTGACAATCAATTAAAAAGTTATGTATGCGTTTGATATATGTATCTTTAGGTGTCTTCTTGTAGAGCTCGGTTCACAGTCTTCTCTTAGACGTTTCATTTAGGTTTACAGGTACAACTGACGGATTGTCGATGTCATACTTTTAGTAATAGGATTATATGTATGTGTGAAATGGTCTATTTATCTCCTTTCTATTTTCAAATATAATCAAATCGTTATTATCTTCAATTTAAATTCTAAAGAATAATGCTATAAACATTAATGGTGTTAAACATCATTCATTAATAAAAAAATAAATCCCACAACAAAAAATTTACATGAAGATACCATCTTGACAATGGTGTGTATTTTTCTTTTTAAGTCCAAATGTAGTCGGATATTAATTTAGGTCTCGTTCATTTCGCCGATTCGAGTTTAGATTCGAGTTTTACTACAGTAAAAAGCTCTCAGAAACAATCACATCTAACTTTTTTGCTACAGTAAAAAACTCTAACATAAAATCACATCTCAACTCGAATTACAAACTCGAATCAGCGAACTGAAGAGGTCTCTTGTTAATGTTCTCTCGTATATTATTTATTTTTTTATCTTTCTTTTGCCAACAAGCGACGTGGCAGAACATCATTGGCTGCATGTAAGAAATCCCACTTCTTCACCATCACCTGACAAACTCAACGAAAAGGAACTCAACGTGGCAGATCCTCAGCCACTTTTAACGTCCGTTAGTATCACAGCCATCAACACAAATCACACCACACTCTTTCTTACACACAAAAAAAAAAAAAAAAAAAAATGTCCCATCAAATGACCATCTTAAAAATCTATCCCATCTATCCACATCAAATCTGACCCGTCTAAAATATAATCGAACGGTGCCAATTCCATCATAACCCAAACGATATCCACCAAAAACATAATAAAAAATCTCTCTCTCGAGCTCCAAACTCCATCGCTGCTTCTTTTTCTTCTTCAAACCTTCTCAAAACAAGGCCAAAATGACCTCCATGGCCCTAAAATCCTTCGTCGGACTCCGGCAATCCTCGCAGGAAAAGAATCCCCACTTCACCATCCAAGCGAAGCCCCTGACGGTCACCGTTCAAAACCCTAGGCGATTCCGCGTTGTCGCAGGGAAATTCAGCCCCAAAGTTGCCGGTCGGAACCTCCGCGTCGCCATCATTGGTGGAGGCCCGGCCGGCGGCTCCGCCGCTGAAACCCTAGTGAAGGGAGGGGTCGAGACGTACCTGATCGAGCGGAAGCTCGACAACTGCAAGCCCTGCGGCGGCGCGATCCCGCTCTGCATGGTCGGAGAATTCGATCTGCCGCTGGATATCATCGACCGGAGAGTGACGAAGATGAAGATGATCTCACCGTCGAACGTGGCGGTGGACATCGGGCAGACTCTGAAGCCGCACGAGTACATCGGGATGGTGAGGAGAGAGGTTCTGGACTCGTACCTGAGAGATCGGGCGAAGGAGAACGGCGCGACGGTGATAAACGGGCTGTTCTTGAAGATGGACATACCGAAGGAGGAGAACGCGCCGTACGTTCTGCATTTCACGGAGTACGACGGGAAGGTTGGCGGCGTCGGCCAGAAGAAGACGTTGGAGGTCGACGCCGTCATCGGCGCCGACGGAGCCAATTCCAGAGTCGCCAAGTCCATCAATGCCGGCGATTACGAGTACGCCATTGCTTTCCAGGTATTCTACGCTTTAAGCATTTCCTTAATTTTTATTTATTTATTTTTGTGAAGAATAAGAATTTTATTTTATGTATATGAAATTACGATTTGCCCTTAGATTGAGGATTTCTTTGATACCCAAAAAAAAAAAAAAAAAAAAAAAAAAAACGTGTGTGCATGGATTTTCATCGGGAAGTTAAATTAGGCTCGTTCATTTCGATGATAAATTTGAGTTTTTTTACAATAAAAACTCTCAAAAACAGTAATATTTAATTTTTTTTATTACAGTAAAAAATTCTCATACAATATTAAATTTAAACTCGAATTAAAAACTCAAAAACAGTAATATTTAATTTTTTTTATTACAGTAAAAAATTCTCATACAACATTAAATTTAAACTCGAATTAGACTAGTTTGAGATTTTTTTCCCCTTTTTTGTGCTAGAACTACTTTGGGATTAAACTATATAAAAGACAGTCTTTTTATTAGGTCTTCCATTTATCTAAAAAAAACAAAACAAAAAACAAAAAAAAAAAGAAAATGAATGTTGCTTGATAATTAATTTGGATTCTGAAGTTATTTTTTTGGTAGTAATGGTAATGGTTATAGTTCTCTATTCGTCAATATTGCATAGATAAAAGAGAGAGTTATGCTTTGTTGACATTGACATAATGTAATTACTGCAAATTTAAACCTCCAATGACGTTTTCTCTTCAAGTTTTTATATGCATTGCTTTGATGATCACATAAAGTAAAAAAGAACCCGACTCTGTGTTAAAGGAAATGCATCTTCTGCAACACATTCAATTATGAGTCATTCTAAATTCTTGATTTTTCACCGTCTCTTTCCAGGAAAGAGTTAAAATCCCCGACGACAAAATGGTGTACTACGAGAACCTCGCCGAGATGTACGTCGGTGACGACGTCTCGCCGGACTTTTACGGCTGGGTCTTCCCCAAATGCGACCACGTAGCAGTAGGCACGGGCACGGTGACACACAAAGGAGACATCAAGAAATTCCAACTAGCAACAAGAAACCGCGCCAAGGACAAGATTTTGGGAGGCAAAATCATTCGGGTCGAAGCACATCCAATCCCCGAGCACCCACGTCCCCGCCGGTTATCTGGCAGAGTAGCCCTGGTCGGCGACGCAGCTGGGTACGTGACAAAATGCTCGGGCGAGGGCATCTATTTCGCTGCAAAGAGCGGGAGGATGTGCGCGGAGGCAATCGTGGAGGGGTCGGAGAACGGGAAGAGGATGGTGGATGAAGGGGACTTGAGGAAGTATTTGGAGAAGTGGGACAAGACTTACTGGCCAACTTACAAGGTGTTGGATGTATTGCAGAAGGTGTTCTACAGGTCCAACCCTGCGAGAGAAGCCTTTGTGGAGATGTGTGCAAATGAGTATGTGCAGAAGATGACCTTTGATAGCTATTTGTATAAGAGGGTTGTGCCTGGTAACCCATTGGATGACTTGAAGTTGGCTGTGAATACCATTGGGAGCTTAATCAGGGCTAATGCCCTTAGGAGGGAGATGGACAAACTTAGTGTATAAAACTAGAAGCTTTGTGAGTATAATATTGTTTGGTTTTGTTAACATTCTATGTATGACTCGATTTTATTTGGAACCAAGAGATTGAGTTTCAATTCATATTCGATCAACTATAAGAGTTGCCACTAGTTTATGATACTATGTGAATTCACCTTTGAAGGGAAACTGGGGTTTTTTTTTTTATTATTTTTTTTATTTTCAATTGGGTAAATATGAATTGTAACTAAATGTTATCATGTTAGCTTTTCAGCCTGAACTTTGTCAAACCTTGTCTTGTTTTCAGTAGTCTCTTTAAGCGTTAAACTAAGGTGTCTTCTTTCTTTTTTTTTTTTTTTTTTTTTAATGTTTAAAAAAGTTTTTTTTTTTTTTTTTTTTTTTTTTTTTTTTTTTTTTTGGAATCATAAAATGAGGTGTCTTTAAATTGTCTTGTTTCTGAGATTGTAACAACAAGAGGGAAGAGGAAAGCCATGGTAGGTAGCCACCAAGTCCAGATGCACGTGTCATTCAATTGAAATGTTTTAGGCCTCATTATTTCTTTAGTTCAAATCATAACTCAATCTTTTATTATAATATTTTTTCTCATAAAATTTAAATTTAATATTTTTTTATTAAAAAAAAATTTAATATTTTTTTTGTTTTAACGTTTTTTCAATATAAATTCAATTTTTCACTTAAATTCTCAACTCAAACAAAAAGAATGACATCTTCTTATGAAAAGTATTATGTACATAGAATATTACATACAAATCTTTCCAGGGCTCTTGAACTCTTGATATTTTATGACATCTTATGAAAAGTATTATGTACATAAAATATAACATACAAATCTTTCTATGGATCTTTTAACTCTTGATATTTTATTTAATCAGATTCAGTGATAACTATCGGAAAAAAAAAAAAAAAAAAAAAAAAAAAAAAAAAAAAAAAACTTCACGCAAGCTCAAAGAGTCGAGCCATTGCAATAAGTAAAACGTGATTTTATTTTCCCCGAGAAAGCTCAGTCTTCCGTATTCTGAGTAATGTTCGCATTTATTAATTTTTCATTTAATAAAATTATATATAAATTAATAATAATATATAGAAATGCATTAGTAACTAAAATTTTAACTTTTAGGTCCGTAAATAATTGTTATGTTTTTAATAGAAGCAGTACCTTGACTTAAAGTAAAAGCAGAAACAGAATTTAAGAGTATGTTTAGTTTATTAATTTAAATTTTTAATTTGAGTTGAGATGTGATTTTATGTAAGAGTATTTTATTGTAGCAAAAAAGTTAGATGTGACTATTTTTAAGAGCTTTTTACTGTAGCAAAACTCGAATTCTAAACTCCAATCGGTAAAATGAACTAGACTTAAAATTACATATTCTAACTTCTCAAAATAATTTAAAAAGTACATTGATTTATGTACAAAGTGCTTTTATACACTTTTATCAAACACTATAGTTGCATTGTTTATTGTACAAATTGCTTTTAAAAGTTTCAAAGGCAATCTCAAATACACTCTAAAGCCCCATTCACTTCGCGGATTTGAGTTTTTAATTTGAGCTGAGATGTGACATTTTCTGAGAGTTTTTCACTATAACAGAAAAAGTTAGATGTGACATTTTCTGATAGCATTTTACTATCAAAACCTAAAATTGAAAACTCGAATCGATAAAATAAACGAGACAATATATTCTTACCAATTCTACTCAAAGAATCTATTCTTATAAGTCAGTAGTTCTAAATAATAATCAATTCTTCTTATTCATATATATTAAACAGAACTCCCCCACCCCTTCAAAAAAAAAAAAAAAGCAAAGACATTCATAATAAGGTATGAAAAAAAAATACCCTACTAAAAAGTTAATTTTACAGTGATCCGCGGTTCGGAATTATGTTTTATTAGTAATCAAAGAAAAAAATCAAAGAAAAAAAATCAAAGAAAAAAATCAAAAAGTATAAACAAAAATATAAAAGAATAATTATATAAAAAAAGAAAAAAAAAAAAAAAGAAGAGAAGAAGAAGAAGAAGAAGAAGAAGAAGGGTGTAGAAGGTAAATCGGAGCCGTTAAAAGAGAAGAGAGGACAAACGGCCAAGATTCACTGGAATATAGAAAAAGCAACAACAAGATTCGGGTAGATTCCCACGTTGCGTTGCGTTGCGGCGGTGCCTACAAAAACATTTATTTTTATTTTCTTTTATATATATATATATATATACACACAATACAATAGAGAGAGAGAGTGGCTGCGAAACCAAAACGCAGCTTACGAACCTGCGTGGACTCGTCCTAATAAACCCCCTTTAGCGGAGTTTACCACACCTACTCTCTCTCTCTCTCTCTCTCTCTCCTCTTTTTTATTAAAGTTTCCACCTCCAGATTTTCTCTACTACCTCTGCTTTCTAATCTTCGTTAGATCTCCACGGTTCGTTTTTCTCTCTTTGCTTTTTTCATTTTTTTTTCTTTGTCTATTTTTCTTTTTGGATCTCTGTAAACGTTGGGATTGCGAGGATTTTCCAATCCGGAAAATCGACATTAATTTTTTTTTTTTTTATTTCATTTCGTTTTCGTTGTTTATGGTAAAAGAAGGAACTGTGAAATTGTGAAAATTTTATTGGTTTTGGTAACGGATCTGTTTCTTTTGTTTAAGACTGTCGTCTGGTTGATGTTTAGATGTACACACACGCACATAATATATGTGTGTGTGTGTGTGTGTGTGTGTGTGTATATATATATTGCTTTTTAATTTCTTCGGAAGTAATTTTGATGATGATTTGGCATCAAACTACACTGGGTAGATTTAAAGATGGAAACTTTTTATGGTTTTCGTTTGGGTTAAAATTTCTATCTCCATCTGTTTTGCGCCAAAATGAACTTTTTTGGCGGAAATGGGACGAAAATTGCTTTCCCATTCATATTTCTCGACGGAATTCAGTATTGGGCTTTTCTTTTTTCTTTTTTTTTTTAATTTTCAGTAAATAAATGAAACGTGAAACAAAAATAAAGCAGGAAGAATAAAAGTAAGTTTGTACATAGGATGGTTCAAATGAATGTGAAACTGATATGTTCAGCGATTTTTATCCAAAATTTAATATTGGGATTTGAGAATAGCTCATGTATTTTGTCTATAAATTAGTGAAGAAACTAAAACAATATATGGATACTTAACTTTTTAGATTATTACCACCGAACCGATGTCCCTGAACTTTGAGGTCATTGCCAGTTTGCCTCTCGAGTTTTAACTCTCTCACTCTGCCCTTTGAATTTTGAATTGATCCCACTTAACCTTTTTGTTGGAATTTTAGTTTAAAACAGATGGAAAAAAATGAGAGCAATGCAGTTACATGCTCTTTCTGTTTGAATATCTATTAAAAGTAAACGTTAACTCCTTTTTTATCCAATTTAATTTTAACAGAAATTCTTACAAAAGGGCTTAAATGGGACTAATCTAAAATTTGAGTTTTCAAAGTTTAGAGACAAACTGAGAATGATTTCAAAGTTCAGGGGCACCAGTGATAATAATCTTAACTTTTTGTATTGTTTCAATTATAGCAATTTTCTAGGAATTACACTCAACTAAATGTCGTTTATTGTTCTGTCATTAACAACAAAGGCTTGATTTTCTCCTTGTATAACAGAGTGTAAGATGGCAGCAACATCAGCAGCTACCTTTTCGATTGGTACAACTGCCTCTCATGGCCCCAAAATGAGCTCGCTTTCGCAGTTGAAGCCTTGTGCTTTGAGGCTCAACGTGCAAAATTCATTTGAGTCATCCTTCCTAGGCAAGGAAAGCCCTGCGGCTCTACGAGCATCTTTCCCGCTAAAGGCTCAAAAGGCAGACCAGAGGTCCCACTACCACTTGCAGCCTCAAGCATCATACAAAGTAGCTGTTCTTGGAGCTGCCGGAGGGATCGGTCAGCCCTTGTCGCTTCTTATCAAAATGTCTCCGTTGGTTTCTGCCCTGCACCTTTACGATGTTGCAAATGTCAAAGGGGTTGCTGCAGATCTTAGCCACTGCAACACTCCCTCGCAAGTTCTGGACTTCACGGGAAATTCTGAGCTGGCCAATAGTTTGAAAGGTGTAAATGTGGTTGTCATACCTGCTGGTGTTCCCAGAAAGCCCGGTATGACTCGTGATGACCTCTTTAACATCAATGCCGGTATAGTAAAGAACCTGGTTGAGGCTGTTGCTGACAACTGCCCCGATGCCTTTATCCACATTATCAGTAACCCCGTCAACTCCACAGTGCCGATTGCGGCGGAAGTCCTGAAACAGAAAGGTGTGTATGATCCAAAGAAGCTTTTTGGTGTCACCACACTGGATGTCGTGAGAGCGAATACATTTGTTGCTCAGAAGAAGAATCTGAAATTGATTGATGTCGATGTCCCGGTTGTGGGGGGACATGCTGGTATAACAATTCTGCCCCTCCTATCGAAAACAAAACCATCAGTGAGCTTCACTGACGAAGAAATTCAAGAGCTGACCGTCAGGATTCAAAACGCTGGAACTGAGGTTGTGGAGGCTAAGGCAGGCGCAGGTTCTGCTACATTGTCGATGGCGTATGCTGCAGCTAGATTTGTTGAGTCATCCCTCCGTGCGCTGGATGGAGATGCTGACGTTTACGAATGTTCTTACGTGCAGTCGGATCTGACTGAGCTCCCATTCTTTGCGTCGAGGGTCAAGCTTGGAAGGAAAGGTGTTGAAGCTTTAATATCTTCCCACCTCCAGGGGCTGACCGAGTATGAGCAAAAGGCTTTGGAAGCCCTTAAGCCAGAGCTTAAGGCCAGCATTGAGAAGGGCATTGCATTTGCTCAGAAGCAAACTGTGGCTGTGTAGATTCCAAGTATCAAAAACTCTTACCTTGTTGTGACACATCCTTTGGAGAGAATGGTTGAACATTGATGATTTTTGTGCGGATTTTATCATTTCATCAGTACTTTCAGTTTTGTAGAATTTAAAGTTTTCTTGTTTCTTTTTTTGATTTCAAAGAACTTTGGTATGGAAAAGTAAAGGTGCCTGATGTCAGGTTTTGGAATAACATTGCTGGTGCGTAGTTACTTTTGAGGAGTATTTATTGGAATAAAAATTGATGGTGCACAATCACTTTTGGGGTTCAATAGATCTTAAAATTATGGTATTTTCATGTGAAATTTCACTTGCCAAAACCATTGAAATTTTATACATGCAAGTCCCTATCTGCGCAGGACCCACTGATTTTTTGGTCGAATTTGTTTTGATGCCTTGGATAGCAACAAGAAACGTCCATTATTAATCTTTTAAGATCTCACATCTTAGCTTTCAACTGTTACATTTTGGCATTTATAGGAGTGATGTAACACAAGACCCTTTTTATAATTCCAATCCACACTCAGAAAAACATTTTTATTTTATTTTATTTTTTATTATTTTTTTTTATTATTTTTTTTTTGTTTGAATCTGGAGTGGGAAAATTTGAACTTTACACTTGAAGACAGTGACTCAGGTTCTGCTGCTAGGTTACTCATATTTCAGGTTCTACTAATAGGTTATGCCCCTAACCGCCATAACTCATTTTATCGAGCTAATAAATAGGTTCTACTGCTAAGTTATGCCCATAACGGTTGTGCTCATTTTTAGACCTTCTATCATAAGGTTATGCCCATAACCGTTGTGCTCATTTTATTGACCTTCTATCATAAGGTGTACAAGCAACAAAAACAAATTCATTACAAATCCTCGTAATTTTTGCCGTCAATCTAGCAAGCTGCGGTCAAGCTTCATTTTACTAGTAGCTTCATGGTATTTAACTATGGCAGGCAAGGCAGTTAGTGGGGCTGCACATGTACTTTCTGTATACAATTTCTGCATTTTCGTTGTATTTGTATAGGAGCTGCTGTCATCAAAGACTAGGGAATAACCAAATAATTCGTCCATATTGCAAAACTCAGGAACAAAACAATGAATGTCCCTTTTGATAAGTACAAGAAACTCTGATGGCACTAGACGCACCAATTTGAGGCAAAATCTGAATTATACGTTCCTGAGTTTTAGCCTTGAGTTTTAGCCTTTTAGGTTAAAATTCAATTCTTATCTCTGCCATGATCTGCGTCCCAGTGTTGGTCTTGCGCATGATCTATTCGCCACCACACTGATGAATTCGACTAATGATCCAATTTTTGCAGCAAAACTTCGATTTGACCAATGTGTTTTCTTTTCCAACTCAAAGCTTTCCTACCAATAGTCATTGCAAGAGCAGCGTCCCTCCAGGAAATGATGAAAGCGGGTGCGATCTCGAATGACCACCTGTCTGTTATAAACCCCTGAGAGAACCTTGGCAAAATTGTGGCAATCGACACAAGTACGAATATTTTTGGCCACCCTGATTGTCGTGCCGGGAGGAGTCGAGAGAACCCCAAAAGCAATCGCTAATTTCTCACTGTGATAAGACAGTACAAACTCTCTCTCTTGTGCCCCCAAGTTGTGCAATTCAGACGATATCTCAACTACATAGCCAGCAATCTTCAGCTGACTGTTGATCTCAGCTAGCATCTCATATATTTCATCCTTTCGCAGGTGTGAAACATCATCTGCAACGAATTCATGTACTACTCCTTTCAGTTCAATTGTGCTACAGCCAGGTGTAGTTTGAAGTGCTTCATCCTTCAGAAACTTCCTCAATTCTGTTACCTTGTCCCAGTTGCCGGCTGAAGAATAGATATTCAACAACAGAACATAATCTCCAGCTTCTTGAGCCTTGAGTTCAATCAGATGTCCAATGACACGTTCACCGAGATTAACATGGCCATGAATTCGGCAAGCCCCAAGTAAGGTCCTCCATATTTCCGGATCCGGCTTGACATCCATTGACATTATAAGCCGATAGGCCCTATCAAGCAGACCGGCACGCCCCAATAAATCAACCATACAACCGTAGTGATGAATGTTAGGCGATATTCCAAACCCTTTGCTCATTCGGCCAAAAAACATCATTCCTTCATCAACCAACCCACAGTGGCTGCAGGCAGAAAGAATTCCTGTAAAAGTCTGAGCATCAGGTTTAACACCCGTCTTCTGCATTTCTTCAAACGCATTGATGGCTTCCCTTCCATATCCATTTATTGCCAGACCAGAAATCATCGCACTCCACGAAACCACATTCTTATCCTGCAATCCCCTAAACACCTCATATGCCTTATCCAACGATCCACACCGTGAATACATCGACACAAGAGAATTCCTTAGATTGGTATGACCGCCATAACCGTGCTCATCAATGTAACGACGAATTCGTTCCCCGAATTCCAACGCATTCAAGTTAGCACATGCTTGGAGCACAAGTAAACACGAAACCTCATCCGGCTCACACCCGTATTCCTCACTCTGCATAGCATCAAACAAACTCAAAGCATCCCGGGTCCGTTTATTTCTTAGACAGCACGATATCAACACATTCCAAGCAACAGTATCTCTCTTCGGCATTTCGTCGAACACCTTCAGCGCATCGCCAAATCTCTCGCAACCTGAATACAACTCCATCAAAGTAGTCAGCAAACGACAATCTGATAAATTACCATCTCTCAAAATCCTCCCATGAACCTGAACTCCACCCACAAACGATGAAATTCTAACGCAACACTTGACGGCGAACGACGACGAAAACGAATTCGCCCAAACGCCTCGCCGTATCATATCCTGGTACATACGAAGCCCCTCGTCCGGCTTGTCCGTCACAGAGTAAGCTCTGATCATGGCGTTGTGGTGAAGAAAAGATGGTCTCTTTATCTGAGCAAAGAACTTTCTAGAATACCCGATATCTCGCAACGAAGAAAGCGCAATGCAGGACAAGAACTTGAGGGAAATGGTGGGGTCTTGAGCGAGAGAAGTGCGGAGGAGGTGGGCATGAATTTGGCGCAAATGGGTGTTGTGGGAACACGATTTGATGATGGAAATCAGAGGGTGTTCTTGAATCTGTTTGGTGGGTGGAACCGGATTTCGTTGATGGGTTTTTGAGGGTGGTTTTGTTGGGTTTAGAAGTGGTTGGTGTTGGGTTTTAAGGGGAGGGAGTTGGGCGAGAGTGGCGGCGGAACGGCGGCGAGAAGTGGAGGGGAAATGGGGATGAAGAGTGGTGAGAGAGAAAGGTTTGTTCTTTCTCATTCTTATTATTTAGGCCTAGTTTATATCAGTTTACTGTAAACTACAGTTTGCTGTTTGTGGTTTTAAGATATCTTCAAATGGTTTGAATCCCATCAGACATTCATTTTAAGCAACTCAACATAAGACAAAAGTTTTTCTTTTTGTGTTTTGAACCTATGATTGCAAATTTAAAGTTACAGCGTAAAACACACTCTCAATTAAATACTATTTATTGTGTCAAATTTCTTATATATTATACTTTATAATAAATTTATTAAGTATAATATATAAAAAATTTGACATTTAATTATTATTAGTTGAAAACTTAAAATATATGCTTTTTTATATAATAATTACAACTTTTATATTTTTTTAATTATCTTAATCTTTTTAAGTTTTTTTTTTGTTATGGTTTCCCATAATCATAATCATTATGATATGGTTTTACAACTTAATGTTAAATATAATTTCACAACTTTTACATAATTCTATTTACAACTTATTATGTAAAAGTAGATTTACATTTTTTTTTTTGGTGTTGGCATTTGATTTTTACAACTTTCACAACATAATGATTATGAGAAAAAATAAATTTAGCATTTTAAATAGCATTATGTATTAAAATAAAAATGAAAATAACATGATGTATCATACTTTTTCATGTTAAATACACAATTGATAATAATATTTACATTGAAGATGGTCTAACAATTTATTTATGCATTGCTTCCAGTTTTTGGCTTCCTTATTAGTCAGTTGGCGCTAAACTTCTGCCAGAGATTAGATGATTTTTCTGGAGAGCCAAAGCTCTTTAGAAGAAGTAATGATTGATTGCAAAGTCATGAAATGTGGAATGTGGTTTTTTAAAGTTGTTTCTTAAAAATAAATAAATAAATAAAACTTGCACCAAAGATTTACTAAGATTTAATAAATTTCTTTCTAATATTTTTATTGCTTATTAGAATATTAAAATATCAACTTTGTCATAGCAAGCACTTGAAAATATATTTTTAGACACCAAAAAAATGCATTTTGAAATATAGGATTCTAAACATTACTTGAAAAGTCATAATTTTTGCTTGCCTTCTTTTGGTACCTAAAAGCATAAGCAAAAACAATACAAAAAGTTCCCTTAAAAAAATACAAATAGTCCAATATCAAAATCATTTAAAAAGTGTTGGTTTTTCTTTCAACTTTTCTGGACCTTTAACACAGATACATTTTTGAAAGGAACTCAAGAAACATGCAGAAATGTGGCAAACGACACGTCTGATTAGAGGAAGGAAAAAAAAGAAAAAAAAAACAGAAAAACAGAAAAAGAAAAAAACCAACATTTAGCACAAGTGATATGTCGTTATTGTCGTGAACGACAAAATAAGCTATGATCCCGTTCGTTTTACAATTTGAACCGCAACTTAAAATTTTTTACTATAATGTTTTTTTTATAAAAATTAAATTCAATCTTTTGCGTTATAATCTTCTCTTACATAATTTCACTTTTCAACTTAAGTTCTCAACTTTTACTAAAAACAATTGACATTTAACGTCTTTAATTAGACGAAGGTTTTACAAGAAACTGTCTTCTAATGTGCTAGCCCAAAACGCGGGTTAGCTGGCAAAATATTAGACGCCGGTTTCTTGTAAAACCGTCGTCTAATGTGAGCGCAGAAATTCAAAAATAAAATTTAACCTCAAATCTATTTTCATTTCGATATCTCTCTCTCTCTCCTCTTGTGAACCATATAGCCGCCACCTACCACCTAAAAATCTTTCTATGTCTCTTTCGACGCCACCACCGCCATTCTCTCTCTATATCTTTCTTCATCTCTCGCTTCGTCTCTCTCTCTTCGTCTCTCTTGACGCCGCCACCGCCATTCTCTCTCTTCGTCTGTTCTCCGACTCTCACTCTGTCTCTCGTCATCATACTCTCCAAGCCGTCCCGATGTTCGCCAAACTGCCAAGTGTCAACCTCCAAGGTGCCTGCAACCACCCCCCCCCGTGGTCGCTGACCCGCCAGCAGCTACCTCTGTCTTCATTTTGGTCAGTCTAAGTTATAATACTTTTTGGATTTGAAATTTATAACTATAGATTAGACGACGGTTATTTTCAATTAGGTTAGACTATTAGACAACGTTTTTTTTTAAATATTATATGATTGTTAGGATTAGAACTAATTAATTGTGTTTCTAGTATTATTTGAATATTTAAATTGCATATGATTTAAGAAGTTTTAAGTTAGTTAGGTTAAGATTAAGAATGAAACTAAATCTAAATTTAAGTTATTTAGTACATTTTTTGTATATATTGATTAGATTAGGTTAAATTTAATGTTGATTAGGTTAGTTTTAAGTTAATTAGTATAGGATTAAGAATGAAGCTAAATCTATATATGTTGATTACATGTTGATTCCTGAAAACATGGCGGGCTGTGATTGATTGAGGAAGAACTTAATACCGCACGAGAGTTATTTAGGGAGGAAGGCACTTCCGATGGGACAAATCAATATAAACTTAGGAAAAGAACAAAATTTGATTCAGATGATGATGGAAAACCATAATGCGTATAGTTGTCAAAATGAGGGATAAAGGAGAAAGAATAAAAGTACAATTTGATGAAAAAAATAACCCCAATGGAAAAGCGGGGAATGAGCTACAAAGTTATGTCGGTATTTTGGCACATGAACGCATGTCAATAACAATAGAAGATTAGAGACATAAAGAAAATTAGAATGATTTGGTTCATTGTTTCACGATTCCAGAGACTGTAAAAAATACGAGCTTATTTGTATGGCGAAGATGGCTCGGGACTTTAGGTTGAACATATTCATGACCTTTGTAATGCCGTTAAAGGATAGTCCCCAAGTCTTTGAACTCCCAAAGAAAGTGGCTAGAAACTACCATTCAATTATCCTGGAAGAATGTAGGAAGTTTGTGGAGTATAGACTTAGTGACGATCGACAGGCCGTTTCTGAATAAGCATCTAAGAGAAGGGGATCATATAAGTACCCATATGGAAATGCTCGTGGGGGATATAGGAAAGCAGAGGAAGATTATGTAAGTCTTCAATTACTTTTTTTCAATGATTTTAATTACTTTTTGTTTGTATTACAATCTTTAATATACTTTTTAATTGAATGCCGATGCGAATGCATAACAAAACGGCGAAGCCGGATCAAGCCACTTTAAGGCAATTCATACGCAAAAACCCGGACGAAACTTACAAAATTCCGGAATGCGAAGAGATCAGAAAATTAATTGTGAGTTATTACTTTTCTTTTTAATATTCGTTTGATCAATGGGAAATATGCCAAAAAATTTATAATATTTTTGTTCTAAATTTTGTAGGACCAATACGCCGAAGAAGAGTCCCATAAAAAGTTTCAATCTTAGGGGACTAATGACGTGCTTACTAGATCATTGGGAAATCTAGAACACTCAGGCCGTGTTCGTGGGAAATCCCAATTTGTCAAAAAGTTTACTTATTTTCATTCCACTGGCAGATCAAGAAGGGATGAGGAGTTGGCAATGTTACGTAAGAGGGTGGAAATAATGGAAGCCAGATGGGAAGCAATGCAATCATCTCAAGGCCATACCTCAGCACTTGTAGGAGAGGGAATGGGAACTCCTACGGTGGATCAACGGTGTAGTATTAAGGAGAGTTGTATTGTCCATAATACTACGCCACCGGCAGAGCCCCCCTCATCAAGCCTTGGTGATGGTAGTAAGTGCATTCTTCTGGCTCCAACAAAGGGGAAGAACAATTTTATCGTTGTTGTGACGGGGATGGCATGGTTGGATAGTCACCCCACCAATGTTGTCCAAGGTATCACATTTGAGGAGGGAAATAAACGCGTCTATATTCAATTAACTTATGTGACAGATGCACCTCTGCCTATCCCTATATTTGATAGCACAATTATGGCTGACGCTCTTGGAGGATTTGTTATATGGCCCTGGAATTTGGTTGAACCAGGGTCCTTGAGTAAAGTTAGCAAAGCTATGACCGGAAAAGAACCCGTGGAGAATCTCCCGGAGCCGACAAAGAAAAAAACTGGAAAACAAAAAAATAAGTTGAAAAATACACAAGGACCCGCCAGGGACGGGGAAGTAACACAACCGCTGCCAGAGCAGTTGCAAGGGTTGCCCACAGAAATGTAAGACTTAATGATTCATGTGTGACAATTGATGGGCATCAATGGAACAATTCAGATTCCCCTTTCATTCAATATGACTCAGGTACATAATATGAAGATCTTCATTACAGCCGATGATATCAAATGGATGGCTACCTATCAAGAACATAGTCTTGTGTGTATCATGGCTTACATGTGGTAATATAACTATCCTTATTACTTTTTCACACTAAATTATTATTTATTATTAAATGTATAACTAACTGTTGGTAAGAACACATTTTCCAACACTAACTTTTTCATTTTGTTGGGAATAGTGTCCTAGAAGCATAAGATGTAATAGGATATTTATTATTTAACTAATAAAAGAGTTTATTCATCATTTTATGTGCATATATTTATGAATATTTTATGAATATAAAATGAAAATTCCGTGATTATTTATGTAACCTTAAACATTATATATAAGTGTTATATACGAGAGGATAATGTTTAAGGATAATAATCAATAACATTGTTCATAATCAATTTAATTAAAGTTCAGAATCTTTAATTAAAACATTATTAATACATGTCATTCCCATTTAGAATGAAATGGTGCTATCCGCACTGTTAATATGGTGAGATATTGAATGAGTGTATTTCGCATAATGAGATTATGTGGAACAGGGACACAGACACAATATGAATTTCTAATAATTTCCGTTAAGCATAAAAATTATAATTGAGTCTACCGATGGTCATATATAGAATGATCTTAATCCTGAGTTCTTAACAAACTCCTATTTATGGATTTGTGTCTTTTGATTTACTCGGTACGGATTCTGAGACCCTGAATCCTATTCCTTGTATTTTGGAGACATGATAAAGTAGGTAGCCGGGAATGTTATTATACGAGATGGAATCCATTCCTTCTTGAGAAAGAAGTAGATAAATAATTC